GGGATACAAAGAGGAGGGGATACAAAGAGGAGGGGATACAAAGAGGAGGGGATACAAAGAGGAGGGGATACAAAGAGGAGGGGATACAAAGAGGAGGGGATACAAAGAGGAGGGGATACAAAGAGGAGGGGATACAAAGAGGAGGGGATACAAAGAGGAGGGGATACAAAGAGGAGGGGATACAAAGAGGAGGGGATACAAAGAGGAGGGGATACAAAGAGGAGGGGATACAAAGAGGAGGGGATACAAAGAGGAGGGGATACAAAGAGGAGGGGATACAAAGAGGAGGGGATACAAAGAGGAGGGGATACAAAGAGGAGGGGATACAAAGAGGAGGGGATACAAAGAGGAGGGGATACAAAGAGGAGGGGATACAAAGAGGAGGGGATACAAAGAGGAGGGGATACAAAGAGGAGGGGATACAAAGAGGAGGGGATACAAAGAGGAGGGGATACAAAGAGGAGGGGATACAAAGAGGAGGGGATACAAAGAGGAGGGGATACAAAGAGGAGGGGATACAAAGAGGAGGGGATACAAAGAGGAGGGGATACAAAGAGGAGGGGATACAAAGAGGAGGGGATACAAAGAGGAGGGGATACAAAGAGGAGGGGATACAAAGAGGAGGGGATACAAAGAGGAGGGGATACAAAGAGGAGGGGATACAAAGAGGAGGGGATACAAAGAGGAGGGGATACAAAGAGGAGGGGATACAAAGAGGAGGGGATACAAAGAGGAGGGGATACAAAGAGGAGGGGATACAAAGAGGAGGGGATACAAAGAGGAGGGGATACAAAGAGGAGGGGATACAAAGAGGAGGGGATACAAAGAGGAGGGGATACAAAGAGGAGGGGATACAAAGAGGAGGGGATACAAAGAGGAGGGGATACAAAGAGGAGGGGATACAAAGAGGAGGGGATACAAAGAGGAGGGGATACAAAGAGGAGGGGATACAAAGAGGAGGGGATACAAAGAGGAGGGGATACAAAGAGGAGGGGATACAAAGAGGAGGGGATACAAAGAGGAGGGGATACAAAGAGGAGGGGATACAAAGAGGAGGGGATACAAAGAGGAGGGGATACAAAGAGGAGGGGATACAAAGAGGAGGGGATACAAAGAGGAGGGGATACAAAGAGGAGGGGATACAAAGAGGAGGGGATACAAAGAGGAGGGGATACAAAGAGGAGGGGATACAAAGAGGAGGGGATACAAAGAGGAGGGGATACAAAGAGGAGGGGATACAAAGAGGAGGGGATACAAAGAGGAGGGGATACAAAGAGGAGGGGATACAAAGAGGAGGGGATACAAAGAGGAGGGGATACAAAGAGGAGGGGATACAAAGAGGAGGGGATACAAAGAGGAGGGGATACAAAGAGGAGGGGATACAAAGAGGAGGGGATACAAAGAGGAGGGGATACAAAGAGGAGGGGATACAAAGAGGAGGGGATACAAAGAGGAGGGGATACAAAGAGGAGGGGATACAAAGAGGAGGGGATACAAAGAGGAGGGGATACAAAGAGGAGGGGATACAAAGAGGAGGGGATACAAAGAGGAGGGGATACAAAGAGGAGGGGATACAAAGAGGAGGGGATACAAAGAGGAGGGGATACAAAGAGGAGGGGATACAAAGAGGAGGGGATACAAAGAGGAGGGGATACAAAGAGGAGGGGATACAAAGAGGAGGGGATACAAAGAGGAGGGGATACAAAGAGGAGGGGATACAAAGAGGAGGGGATACAAAGAGGAGGGGATACAAAGAGGAGGGGATACAAAGAGGAGGGGATACAAAGAGGAGGGGATACAAAGAGGAGGGGATACAAAGAGGAGGGGATACAAAGAGGAGGGGATACAAAGAGGAGGGGATACAAAGAGGAGGGGATACAAAGAGGAGGGGATACAAAGAGGAGGGGATACAAAGAGGAGGGGATACAAAGAGGAGGGGATACAAAGAGGAGGGGATACAAAGAGGAGGGGATACAAAGAGGAGGGGATACAAAGAGGAGGGGATACAAAGAGGAGGGGATACAAAGAGGAGGGGATACAAAGAGGAGGGGATACAAAGAGGAGGAGGGGATACAAGGAGGAAGGAATACGAGGAGGGGATACAAGGAGGCAAAGATACCATGAGGAGGGCATACAAGGAGGAGGAGGGGATACCAGAAGGAGGAGGGGATACCAGAAGGAGGAGGGGATACCAGAAGGAGGAGGGGATACCAGGAGGAGGAGGGGATACCAGGAGGAGGAGGGGATACCAGAAGGAGGAGGGGATACCAGGAGGAGGAGGGGATACCAGGAGGAGGAGGGAATGCAAGGAGGGGGGATACCAGGAGGAGGGCATACAAGGGGGAGGACGGGATACCAGGAGGAGTGCATATGAGAGGGAGGGGAAGCAAGGAAGGGATACCAGTGGGAGAAGGCGATACCAGGAGGAGGAGGGGCTGCAAGGAAGGGATACCAGGAGGAGGGGATACCAGGATCACAGAAACCGCCTCCCTGCATTCTAGAATATACATGGTGGGCAGGCTGGCAGAGTAAACAAGGGGCCAGTTGTACACGGGGCACATCCGCAGCTTCTGTCCGGTCACCTTTGTGTAAAGCCGTATAGTGATTGGGCCAAAATATGGACTAAGTGCGATTATTTCCCCCCGTGCAAAACCAGAACCTCATCAAACCCAACACATTGGCGCCATTTGTCTTGGTGATCATCCACCATTGCCAATCGTGTCGTTGGCCGTTTTGTTTCTCCTCGCTCTGACCACGTCACCTCGTCAATGCCGCACGACACAGAACTGTTTATGTGATACAACGTTGGCAGCAGATATAAAATCCAAAAGGGTCGCCTGGGATGTTGGAGCCGGTCCATCAGGGCCACACAGGAGATTCTGCTGCCAACAACAACTAAGCAAAACCTTTTTTTTTATTGCATTTTGGATGGCGTGGGGGAGGGTCAGGTCCACCGTCAGTATTTTGCTATCCTGAGAGCTTGACCTCACTTCCTGTCCTGATAACATTTTACTAGACAGGAAGTGAGGGGAATTCTCCAACAGCAACACAGACAAAAATCAGTAGGGGACGGCTAGAACCCGTCGGATTAAAATTTCTGGAACACGTAGACACATGGAGGGGGATGCAAGTTATTGATCGGCCAGACAGATTCCCAAAGTAGCTCTGGTGCAGCTGATCAACAAAAATGGGGTTCACCCCAAAAGATTCCCATGTATGAAGTCTGCCGAGAGTGCAAAATGAAAGGTCTAAGGGTGCAAAGTCTTTTATTCATGGTATCAGTTCACAAGATAACACAAAACAGCCAACGCGTTTCGGTGCATCGAAGATATTCCCCCTTCTACACGACTATAAAATAGACACAAATCCCTAAACCGGTTCAATTCACATTAAGGTTGATGCACCCCAATAACTGAGCTGATGCACCCCATAAAATGAACCAATACATGTATTCACATACAACCTCGTGTGTCTATTTTGTATCCCTGAAGAAGATCTTCGACCCCCCGAAACGTGTTGGCTCGTTGTGATCCGATATCCGTAATAAAAGACTACGGACTCTTTTAGACCTTTCCTTTGGCACTCCCATTAGACATTGTACATGTAGATTGTTATTTCTGCCTGTGTCCCTGTTGCTGATTTTCCTTTACTGGGCCGTCAGGAGAAGAAGTCTTTTCAATGAAGCCGTAGAAACCCAACAAGGATCCCAATCCTTCCCCACGCCATTCAAAGACGTTCCCAGTTTAACAAAGCTTGAAATTCAACTTCAATTATCCCGAAAATTCACTCCAGTTCCGGGTGAATCTGATTCACCAACTTGCCAGGTGAGGGCAGCAAGGGGGAGGGGCGGGTGTAGGATAACGGAAGTTGAAATCCAGCCTTTCTGTTGCAAGCTAGTGGTTTGAAGCGGACGCCATTGGTAGGACATGACGCGGCTCAGGGGTGACCACAAAACCTCCAAAGGGCCCGTTCACACCAGATGCAGTGCGTTCCGAACCGGTTCTGGCCAGAACGCACTGCCTCGCATTGCGGGCCGGCTCACTTTTTTTTTTGTGGGGCAGGAGGGGGCGTGTCGGGCCATTGAAGTGAATGGCACCGTAGCCGCACCCTC